CATTTGCTTATGTCCTCTCTTATTTCCTTGAGCCAGTGGTTTGTAGTTCTCCTTGGAGAAGTCTTTCATGTCCCTTGTAAGTTGTATTCCTAGGTATTTTGTTCTCTTTGTAGTGATTGTGAATGGGAGTTCACTCATGATTTGGCTCTCTGTGTGTCTATTATTGGTGTGCAAGAATGCCTGAGATTTTTGCACATTGATTTTGTATCCTGAGACTTTGCTGAAGTTGCTTATCAGCTTAAGGAGATTTTGGGCTGACACAATAGGGTTTTCTAGCTATACAATCATGTCATCTGCAAACAGAGACAATTCAACTTCCTCTCTTCCTATTTGAATACCCTTTATTTCTTTCTCTTGTCTGATTGCCCTGGTTAGAACTTCCAATACTATGTTGAATAGAAGTGGTGAGAAAGGGCATCCTTGTCTTGTGCTAGTTTTCTTTTTTTTTTAATTGTATTTAGGTTGTGGGGTACATGTGCAGATCATGCAGGATTGTTACATAGGTACATACATGGCAAGGTGGTTTGCAGCTTTCATCTTCCCGTCACCTATATCTGGCATCTCTCCCCTCCTTATCCCTCCCCACCTTCCCTACCCTCCGCTGTCCCTCCCCTAGACCCCCCCACTGACTGCAGTGTGTGATGCTCCACTCCCTATGTCCACGCATTCTAATTGTTCAACACCCACCTATGAGTGATAACATGTGGTGTTTGATTTTCTGTTCTTGTGTCAGCTTGCTGAGAATGATGGTTTCCAGATTCATCTATGTCCCTACAAAGGACACAAACTCATCGTTTTTTATGGCTATGTAGTAGTCCATGGTGTATATGTGCCACATTTTTCGTTGATGGACATTTGGATTGGTTCCAGGTCTTTGCTATTGTAAACAGTGCTGCAATGAACATATGTGTGCATGTGTCTTTATAATAGAACAATTTATAATTCTTTGGGTATACACCCAGTAATGGGATTGCTGGGTCAAATGGAATTTCTATTCTAGGTCCTTGAGGAATCACCACACTGTCTTCCACAATGGTTGCACTAATTTGCACTCCCACCAACAGTGTAAAAGTGTTCCTATTTTCCCACATCCCTTCCAGCATCTGTTGTCTCCAGACTTTTTAATGATTGCCGTTCTAACTGGTGTGAGATGGTATCTCAATGTGATTTTGATTTGCATTTCTCTAATGACCAGTGAAGATGAGCATTTTTTCATATGTTTGTTGGCCTTGTGGATGTCTTCTTTTGCAAAGTGTCTGTTCATATCCTTTGCCCACTTTTGAATGGGTTTTTTTTTTTCTTATAAATCTGTTTTAGTTCTTTGTAGAGTCTGGATATTAGCCCTTTGTCAGATGGGTAGATTGCAAAAATGTTTTACCATTCTTAAACAAATGCTTTTGTTTAAGATCCCATGATCTATTATTTTGCATTTAATTGGTGTTGGAAGGTGAAGCAAGTTCCGCAGTAGCTTGAACCTCAGAGAAAGTAAGTTGGAGCCACATGAACTTCACAGTAGAAGTTTTTCAGTGATCTGGCACTCCCATGTTCTATATTTTGTTAGCATGACCATTGTTAGTATGATTTCTCCACTGGATGAAATAGCCAAGCAGGGGATACCATTTTTTCCCTCACCTCTGATTCCCAATCTACAGAATGTATGGAGAATGTTGTCTCAAATAATTGGTTTATAAATTATATCCTTATGTTTCTCAAGCAATAATCCTAATTGGGAGTATAAACCCAAATATTCCTCTTGAGGTGATTTCAAGCAAAGATCGAGTTTTTGGTTTTTTGTGGTGTTGCTTGTGGACCACAAGGTGGTGGCTTCTTGTTCCTTCTGTAACTCACTATTCCAATCAAACTGTTTAATGTAATGCTACATTTATCCCAGCAATGAGAAATTAAATTTCTGAAATCACTCTTCTTTTTTTCTTTTTTTTAATTGTACTTTAGGTTCTGGGGTACATGTGCAGGTCATGTGGGATTGTTGCATAGGTGTGAAAATTTAAAAAATTAAAAAAAAAAGAAATAAAATCAGGAGAACTTCCCTGGATCGGTGTGTATACTGTACAGAAGCTCTGGAGTTAGATCCCACTTTTCTATTTTGGCTTTTGTTGCTGTTGCTTTTGGTATTTTAGCCATAAACTCCTTGCCTATGCCTATGTCCTGAATGGTTTTGCCTAGCTTTTCTTCTAGGGTTTTTATCGTGTTAGGTCTTATGTTTAAGTCTTTAATCCATCTGGAGTTAATTTTAGTTTAAGGTATCAGGAAGGGGTCCAGTGTCTGCTTTCTGCACATGGCCAGCCAATTTTCCCAACACCATTTATTAAACAAGGAATCCTTTCCCCATTGCTTGTTTTTGACAGGTTTGTCAAGATCAGATGATTATAGATGCATGGTGTTGCTTCTGTGGCCTCTATTCTGTTCCATTGGTCTATGTCTTTGTTTTGGTACCAGTACCATGCTGTTTTGATTACTGTGGCCTTATAGTATAGTTTGAAGTCAGGCAGCATGATGCCTCCAGCTTTGTTCTTTTTGCTTAGGATTGTTTTGGCTGTGTGGGCTCTCTTTTGGTTCCATATGAAGTTTGAAGTGGTTTTTTCCAGATTTGTGAGGAAGGTCATTGGTAGATTGATGGAGATAGCATTGAATCTATAAATTACTTTGGGCAGTATGGCCATTTTCATGGTGTTGATTCTTCCCAACCATGAACATGGAATGTTTTTCCATCTGTTTGTGTCCTCACTTATTTCATTGAACAGTGGTTTGTAGTTCTCCTTGAAGAGGTACTTTACATCCTTTGTTAGTTGTATTCCTAGGTATTTTATTCTCTTTGCAACAATTGTGAATGGGAGTTCACTCATGATTTGGCTCTCTCTTTGCTATTGGTGTATAGAAATACTTGTGATTTCTGCACATTGATTTTGTATCCTCAGACATTGCTGAAGTTGCTTATCAGTTTCAGGAGATTTTGGGCTGAGACGATGGGGTCTTCTAAATATGTCTTGTGCTGGTTTTCAAAGGGAATGCTTCCAGTTTTTGCCCATTCAGTATGATATTGCCTGTGAGTTTGTCATAAATAGCTTTTATTATTTTTAGATATGTTCTATCAATACCTAGTTTATTGGGAGTTTTCAGCATGAAGGGGTGTTGAATAGCAAAGACTTGGAACCAGCCCAATTGTCCATCAGTGATAGACTGGATAAAGAAAATGTGGCACATGTACACCATGGAATACTAGGCACCCATAAAAAGAATGCATTCATGTTCTTTTCAGGGACATGGATGAGTTGGAAATCATCATTCTCAGCAAACTAACACAGGAACAGAAAGCCAAGCACTGCATGTTCTCACTCATAAGTGGGAGTTGAATAATGAGAATGCATGGACAAAGGGAGGGGAACATCACCCACCAGGGCCTGTGGAGGGATGGGAGGCTAGGGGAGGGATAGCATTAGGAGAAATACCTAATGTAGATGATGAGTTGAGGGGTGCAGCAAACCACATGGCATGTGTATACCTATGTGACAAACCTGTATGTTCTGCACATGTATCCCAGAACTTAAAGTATAATAAAATAAAAATAAAAATAAAGAAATTGCCTCATGATTCATTTCTTAGAATTTATCCCCATCATTTAGTGACATATAACTATATTTTAAAATCATATTTCTTTGTCCAAAGAAATGAGTTTGGGTACAGTTGGTGGGCACTCAGTTGGTATTTATTAGATAATTGTGAATTTATTTCGGGAGTAGGTACTGATAGTATGTCTCATGTGGAACTGTTCCATGTGGACTTAAGTTGGCCGAGTCCTTTTTGGCTAACCAGGGAGACTCCACGAATTAGGTCCACCAGGATAAACATTACATGAAATAACCAAGAGGAAGTAGCAGATACAGCCTATATGATTAAGAGTAGCAATTGCTTGTCAGTTGTATACCTATGCAGGAATACTTCAGTTAATAAGTATTTGTAGAGAATTCACATGCTAGTCACTGAGGATATGCATAGTATTCTTTCTCAAGTGTCAAAATATGCTGAAAGTTGCATTCATTTTCATAAGGCAATGTACCATACATGAATGTCTTCACCCTGCCCCACCACTAGCCCCATACATACATAGATCAGTGAAAAGAATATGGCCTTTGAAATTAATCAAACATTATTTCACATCCTGACTCAGCTATTTATTGTGTGTAAGCTTTATTAAGTCATTTAATCAACATGAGACTCTTTTTCCCTCATTAGAAATTATATAATGAAGGCAATAAATACCATCCTGGTTGTTGTAAAGATTGAGATACTGTTTACTAAATACCTTATATAGGGCCTAGTCTATACAGAAACTTAACAACCTATATGGGAACCTGATTATAATATACCAATACACTTAAAGTGGGTCTATTTCAGATATATTGAGAACACAGTTCTCCAGTGTTTATGATAGCTGATATAGTCAGAACTGTTTCAATCATGTACCTTAATGAAAATTTTCAGCAACAGCATTCTTACAAAAGGGCTCTATAGCCCAGCAAGCTGGGCAAGCCCTCCTTTGGTGAATCCTCCATGCCTTGAAAGTTTAGGCTCCTCAAGGTGCTAAACATTAATTTATATGTTTTCTCTGAGAATTTATGCTCTCTATAAGCAGAAATCTCTGCACACCAGCCCTTGCTGGGAGGAAGGAGTATGGTTATTTTCTGGGAGAGTAGCCTGGCTGGATCTCACCAAAGGCACGTCTTCCTTGGGAAGGAGCAGAGCACATTTCCCCAATCCTTTTTGTCAACACAGTAGGAGATATCTGAATTTCATTTGGGTATTAACTGCTGTGTGAGTTGGGTTTCTCTCTGTTAGAGGAGCTGCTGTTATTGGATTAAAACCACAGTTGTTGGCAAGCACTTAAGACTCCATGGGGGATTTCTCTATCAAATAAGAGGGTCAGAGTTTTGTTTTTCTCTTTTCTAGTAAACCCGCTCACCAGAGTTCTGTTTTCCAGGTAGCTGTATCACTTAGCTGGAGACCAAGGAGAAGCAGAATTTCTTTCTTATTATCAAGGTGCTAGACCAGTCAGCTTGGAAATGATCCAAAACCCGATTTGGCTTGCAGCTGTAGAACTGGAACCACAAGCCTATTTGGGGACATGAGATTCAGATGTCGTGGAGAATTTCAGGAGCAACAAACTCCAGGTAAAGCCACACATTCTTGTGTTCTGTAAAAAGGCTACCTTATAAGTATTAACTTACCCCTAGATCCTCCTGTGGTTTAGATTCACTGTAGATTTTATATTGTTTTATAGCCTCTGGTGGCCTGGGAATTGCCAGCATGGTGAGAGCTGTAGGCTGCTGCCGGCCTCCAGAGACTGGGTCTGGAACCACTGGGACATGCAAGTTGGCGTCCGCTAGCTTCCTGGGCTGAGACACCAAAAGCTCCGGTTCTGACCCCAAACCTCTTCTGCCTGTGCTCAGCCAATAAATCTATCTGTTAAAGAGAAATTTATTCGGATGCCTTGAAAGTTTAGCATCTGCTTCTCGTTGGCTCTTGCTGCTTTAGAAAACATTCAGAAGTTTCTGTTGGATTTGGATGAGACAGGGATGGCATATTTTCTGTGTCTCTCCAGAAGCCTACACCCCACTTTGGGAGCTTCATTTACATGCACATTGGATGCCGTCTGACTGCCTCGGACTGTACCTTTGAACAGATCCGATGGGATCCCCACATGCATGTAAATGAAGCTCCCTTAGCCAGAGCCTCGCTCCAAAGAGGCAAAGAGCAGGCTTTTCTTGAAACTTGTTACTGCGACAATCTCATACCAGACACCACAATAAGGAATTTTTTTCCTTGCTAGTGTGCATGCCAGGAGGATGCCACATAACTTGGTTTTCCAGACAGAGGTAATTTATTTAAACATGGATTATTTGAAAAATGGGAAGGGATACAGGGCTTGATTTTAATCCCTGCTAACATAGAAAAAGAATGCTCGTGTCACAACTCAGTGAGTGTAAAAATTAAAAAAGGCTGAGACTATTGTTTGAAAACAGGCAAAATAATTAAAATTATTATGGAATAATCACATATCACACAACAACCTCCCACTCTTACGAGCAACAATCCAAAACAGCTCCTCCAAAGCGGGCCCAAGGGCAGAGGTTCTGTATATCATTCAAAGACCATCTGTCATGCAATTCCTGTAGCGCCTTTGCACTATTCTGAGGGCAGGCTGAAATTTAGTCCTGGCAGTTCTCTTTCCATTTGCTAACAAACAGCAGTGATGGCAGATAAATATGGCAAACAATAGGTATTTGTAATGAACTGGAAAGGGATGGGGAGTTTTGGAACAAGCACCAAAATAAGAAGTTTTGGGTCCTGTGCTGGACCCCTGAGACCCCCAGGGCCAGTTCCTGCCATGTGGCAGCTCAGACAGACATCTGTAGGCAGAGTGAGGCTTCCATGAGCTCAGCCAATCTGCTAAGGGCCTGATTTAAATAAAGTTCTTTATTTTTATTAAAAAAATTAATAATCACAAAGACTTAAAGCTAGGTTTTTCTTATTCCAGAAAACTCATGCATTGCAAATAGTTTGGAAAGCTTACTTCTTAGTTTGCAATCTTTCCTTTTATTGGGAGGTTGTGTCTTCTCTCCCCCAAATTCCCCTCATGCATGTGTTTTTGCATACTGCCTCATTTCGTGGTTTCACAGATGCTGTTAGAGCATAATCTTGATAATTATGCTGGGTACAGTATTTATTTTCATTGTTTTGGAAGTATAAATTTGAGATTTGATTGTCTGATGTTGAATTAGGGAAACAAAAATATTATCAATCAACCTTCAATAATTATAGTTTAAAATAACAAATTAGTAACACTCGAGGAACTCTAGATTTGAGTTGATGTTTTGAATGTTTAGAGTGATGTGAAATTCTGACCCAGCTCTTTTAAAATCATTTATTGGTCACTTTTCTGTAAACTATATCCATGCATCCACAGGCTTATAGGCACATATAGCCAGCTCTCAATACCCCATGGATACCCTCTCCTTCCACCCACAGTGTCTCTGTCTCTCTCACACACACAGAGTTTATTAGTCAGAAGTAGTCTCTGGAAAACTTTATGGCAGGTTCAAGAATGGATCACATAATGAGTAGACAGCAGTACTATTTGCGGTAAGCCCAGAACTAAATCTTTAATAGTTTCAATTTCGAGTTGGAGCAAGAAAGGGTTTTGTCACAGCTCATCTTGTAAAATTAACACTTCACACCAGGGAAGACACTTGTCTGTACTGATCAGGAGCCCATGTGGACCTTAAATAGCAAGGCCATCTTACACATGTTCTAGGGACTCAGGTGAGGGGTGGCACTTGTATATACTGCCATTCAGGCCTTTAACAGGAACTATGGTGGGGTGGGTGTAGAGAAGGTTGGAAGCAATTTTAGTCCTCTATTATTGAAATTATTAAAAGCACCAAGCTGGTATGTGGTACTCTTTTTATACTGCCCCCAGTCTGGACTTTGGTTCTCACTGACAATTCTGCCCTGGTGATGTGCTCATCCCCAGTGCAAAAGTGCTGATGGCATGGGTGTTGTAATTCAAGCAGGTTTCTATCTCCATCAGTCCCTAGGAGAGACTATGGTTTCAAACTCAAGGCCAGAGCAGTGGCTCACGCCTGTAATCCCAGTACTTTGGGAGGCCGAGGCAGGCGGATTATGAGGTCAAGAGATTGAGACCATACTATAGCACTTTAAAGTACCAAGCATGGTATGATTCCATGAACTATGTTACAAAGATGAAAAAAAAAGAGTGTTCTGTTACAAAAAGAGGCCTGACCCTGACCTAGGATTGAAAAGCCCCAAATAGAGCCCAGGGTCCTTTACTAAATGATTAGGAAAATCATGTCTCTTTTCTAGGCTTCAGTTTGCCTTATTTATAAAGTAAATAACCCCCCTACATTTCCTTCTAGCTCTAAAATGTTACCTTTTTAGGTGGAATTTTAAAAAAATCACTTCTGTTGTTGGTTGTAGAATCATGGAATTAGAAGTCTGAAGCTCTACCTTTAGACCAGTACATGCCAATACTACAACAACCATCTGAGATGTCTCTTTAGTCTTTGTGAAATAATCCTTGAGCCATATTAGAACTCCAGTTACTGAGTTGGTATTGTCTTAGTTGGTTTAGCAAGTTACTGACCTATTTACCTATCTGGTTGTTGGCAAATAGTTATAATTCATGTTACCTGACTTCTAAAACAGTCATTTCCACCCACCCCCCGCTCACCATGCCAACATTTTTTTTTTTCCTGAAGGGCGGGCAAAATCCTGTCAATTAGTATGGAATAATTTTGCCACATGTGATTTCTTCCCTATCCAGTGTTATGTTGGTGCCCGCCTGTAGCAGCTCGTGAGAGCCAATTTTTGTCAGGAATTTTACAAGTCAGTTATTAAACTGTTGGCAGCTTTAAATTGACCATTGTGGAGTATTTACACCACAGAAATTGACAAACATTACCAATGAGGGCAGTCCCTCCCCGGAGGCATGGTCGTTCAGTGTTTCACAGTATCTCACTACTCCCATCCTTATTTCCCTGTCTTTCCTAAGAGCAATAGTGAATTACAAGAAAGGTTAGGGTTCAATACTTCTGTAGGGGAATGCCCAGTGAGGCAAAGATAAACAACTCTATAGCAAATCTATGCAAACCAAACAATAGTCTGATGGTATTATTTTAACATTACTGTTACTGGGAGTGGTGACTCATTGGAGATGTGCAGACATATGTTTTTTCCTGATTTTTCTAGAGTAGTCTTACTGCTGATAGACAGTATTTTACTTTACCTGAAACATATCTATGGATGTCACTAGGAATAAATTCATTCAGAATACTGACTAAATTTACCACATCTCCATATAATATCTGTGGGTTATTACTGTTTCCTTTTTTCAGATGAGGAAATGAAGCCCTGGATTATGTTAGCTCTTACGAAAAGTAATACCGAAATGGAGTATGTCATTACAATTCAACCAATTCAGAATTATCAAGGGCCTATTATGTTGAAGGCACTGGACTATAATAGACCAACTGAATTAACAATACTAGAAATAGCCCCACGTCTTCTAATTTTTTTTCAAATTCAAAACAAATTCCTGCGCATTTATTTCCACCACAACAAGGGCTGAGCATATTGGCTATCCATTCAAAATGAGCTCTCAGTTTTGAAGAGGGCTTCGGAATCTTCACAACAAACAAGGGAGGGAAGATTCTGTGCTCTCAGGCCAGAAAAGAGAGGATTAAACAGCAGTGGGTGGCAGCTGGTCAGTTTACCAGACAATTCTAATGTGGAGATGTTTCTAAAAAGAGAGTGGAGATTTTCCATTCCAGCCTGGGAGCTGGCCCATGCTTGCAGAACAAGTGCAGGCTCAGCTTCTGCCAGGCACCAGTAAAACTGGAAAGCATGCTGAAAGCAGATGCTATTAAAAATCAAACAGGAAATTGTGCTACCCCAGAACCTCCTGGATAGTGAAGTCAAGACACCCAGTAGAGAGTGTAAAAATCAATGCCAGGTCAACGATGAAGTCACCAAACCTGGTTAGTAAATTTGCCATTCCTTGAAAACTTACATGCACATCACTGAATTGTATTTTGTCTCATGATGCTTCCTCTTCTGTCCTGCCGTTTCAGTGCACGGGAACTAGAGTGGGTTATCTGAGTGCTACTTTTCCTTAAAGAAATCATATATGAGATCTCTTTTCTTGTCAAAAATAGTGAAAATCCTTTCCCTCGGATAGGAAGTTTCTGTGTTCTAACTGCTGGCAATGCTTTGTACTGTAAAGCATCCAGTTAGAATAAATGAGAACTGAACTTTTGTTTTAGTTCTGTTATTGATGAAGCAGTCCATGACATTGGGAAAATAACCCAATCATTGGAGACTCAGTCAACTCACCTCTGAATGAGATTAAAACTTAATGTATATATGTATGACAGCCTGGGAATTTTTTAATACAACCATTTGGTATCCCCTCTTTTCCCATCACCCACATTTTCTCCAGGTAATGAATTTATTTTTACTTCTCCTAAACCACTGTCCATATTCTAAATGAAGCTCCCTTTCTTTATAGCCATGATTCTTAGAGTGGGTCCAGATGAGCAATGCCAGCATCATTCAGAACCTTATTAGAAATGTAATTCTCAGGTCAGACCCTGGGTCTGCTGAATCAGAAACTCCTTTGATGGAGTCCAGCAGTGTGTTTTGACAAGCCTTCAAGGGAGTTCTGACACACTATTTTAGAGAGTGAGACGGAAACATGAGTATAAGGGAGAATATTAGGTCACATGGGGAATAGCTGTCTCAAAATTCCTTGGGCTGTCAAGGCCAAAGTTCTCACTAAACCCAAGCACTTTCATCCTTAGACCAGTTTGTAAAAACTATACCAGGTACCAGTTTGCAATGGTGAAGAGTCTGATACTATTATTGCTAGTAGTAAAGACAATAATAACATGTGTATAGTACCTTTTACATTTAAGTATTTTAACCTCATTTTCTCATTTGAGGCTTGGAGCTGGCAGCCAGAATGGTGATGATGAGGGGCTGTGGTACTCTGAGTTGCAACTTAGGAACTTAACACATTAATTTGAATTCAAGGAGAAATGCTGCCCCTGATCTGAGGCCACATTTCCTGGAGTGTGGTGATAGACAAAACTACTAGTGTCACTCACAGATTCTGCTACTTTCTCAGGTTTGGATCAGTGATTTTTCTGGGGAATTGTGGATCCAGCAGACCAACAATCTCATAGCTCAACCAATGACAGATACCACAAGAGAAATAATTTTCACACTGAAGTCACCCAACACCATGAGCAAACAAGTTACAAGTGTGGATGGAAAAGCTCTTGTTTCTGCAGCTCATGGGTGAGAGAAGCCTGCTGACTGGGAATTACTTACACTGCAAGTCAGAAGACGCTATAGAATCGGGTGACATATGGCCCTCGGGCCTCTCACTTCTGTGATTGGCAGGTCACACTCTCTGGTTTTTTGACTAAGGCCTGTCACAGTTGAAAAGACAGCTAGTGAAATGGTTTTCACTTCACTGAGGGCTATACCACAGGTCACCCAGTGCTGCCACCCTCACAGTGAAATGCTGCAATGCGTCTTGGTTAAGGACAATGCTGAGGGTAGTTTCACTTGACTGTGTGTCGCTGCTGGATGAAATGGTTACCAAATGGACTAATGAAAAAAAGAGGAAATACTGTATGCTATAGAGATTTGCTAAAGCTGACAAAGGATGTATTATTTATTAACATGCTTATACAGAAGCTGGAATCACACCTTAGTAAATATAAGAAATAAGTATATCCAAAATCAATTCTATTTTTGGGTAAGAATTAAGAAGCAAACAAGGGAAATACCTCATTAACATCCTAATTAATAGGAAATTTGTAAAGAAAATCTAGAAAACCATGAGTGTCTTCCAGGGGATAGATTTGATCTGATTTGATAGAATCAAATCATTTGGCTACAAACCTCTGCAGAGTTTCTCCAGCTTGTATACATTACACAACAGTATATCTTCATTAATGCAAATGTATATTTAATTGTCCCTAGAATGAAATTATATAGCATTTAGAAATGAATAGATGCATAGCCTTTGGGATTGTTCATGGTGATATCTCTCAGTTATATTTGTGTATGTGTAGTGTGTGTGTGTGTGTGTGTGTGTGTGAGAGAGAGAGAGAGAGAGAGAGAAAGGGAAGAGAGGAAGGTAGAGAGAGAAAGAGAGAGAGACTGAGAGAGCACTTATTTTCATCAGTGATAGTCTTTGATGATTCAAGAGACGGATGTGGATTATTCTGGCAGACATTTCAATGTTACTACTTGATAGAAGTTGGAATGATAGAATGGTAGGTAGGGAGCCTGTTCTCTGTGTGCATTTTTCTTAAGTAATACTTTCCTTTATTTTTTCTGTTTTTTTTTCTCCCTACTCTTTATTTTTTTTTTTAAATAAAAATCTTGAGTTGGTACTCAAGTTCATTATGGGACATCATTAGAAAAACAGAAAATAATGTCAAATATGATAACATTGGTGAAACATTCCTTTAAAGGGATTAAAAAAAATCTAAAACCACATAAATGCAAGTATCTAGCTTTAAAATCTTCATTTCATGCTATTTCAGAGGGCACATTGATTTTTGAGTGTCGTCCTTGATGCATCTGTCGAGATCAGGAGATACGGCACAGTATGCTCATCACAGGGAGGGAGGGTCACACAATGGTTAAAGAGCAAATTGTACCGAGAAAAGTGTATATTCTGTCAAAGTAAAATAATTCTATGAAAATGGTGATCTCTCCCCTTGTCTGTCTGCCTGGTTCTTTTTAAAAAATATTTCAAATTTTTTTTTTATTTTTCTTTCTCACAGTTACTGACAGAAAAAAATTAAACTCTGACATTGATATTTTTAACTTTCTGGGTGAGCTGATTGTACACATCAACAACTAAAACCGAACACTGGCTAATGTTCACCTAGTAAAAAAAGAAATGGCAAGTTAATTAAACAGAATGCTTTTATTCTGTATAGTCAAAGCTAGTTAGTTATTTCTGCTTTTATTATGTCATGAAAATGATAATTAATTTGAATTTTTATAAGTAGGTTTAAATTCATTATGTATTGCAGTTCACAAACCCAGGCTCAATCAGAGTTATCTTATGATGAGACCTTTTTCCTTAACTTAAAGTAACAAATGATCAATGTTCATATTAAATGTTTAAACACAATCCACAAATTGTGAATAGTTGTTTCTTTACATGGGTGTTATTTGGTATCTAGTGTTTTTTCATATGCATGTTTATCTGACTCTCTCTGTCATTTACAGGGTTTATCACCATCTGAAATCCACCCCACCCCTTAGTCAATTGGGTGGCCTTTGTCCAGAATATCCTCTGCCTGCCATCTGCCCACCTGGTCTGTTAGTGGTTGCTTTCCCTGGTTTTCATTCTAAGCTACACTTTCTCAGGCATTTTGCTCTTGGCTGTGTACATGTGAGGTCAGATGATAAAAGGTTAAAAATTCTGCCATCAAGTAAACAAATGCCTCAGCTGGCTTACTAAGTAAATTTGTTTTCTCTTAAAAGCTGAATTCTGTCAAAGTAGTTGTGCACAGGGACACAGCCCCACTGTAGAGCATCAGAAGAACGATGTGTCTGTACCTCTGGGAGATCTATCTCACCTTGATCTTGAGTTCAGTGATCATCCAAGTTGTGGCTGGTACCTTCCTTCTTCCATGAAACTATCTGTATTCCAGAAATGGACAGAGTAGTGTGTATAGAGAATTCTATCGTCTTCCTCTTTGGGTTTTATTCAGTTAGCAACAAGGCTGCCGTTTCTACTGTGGAGTTCACAGGGAAGATTAGATATTCACTTTGGAGGGTCTTAGTGAATTGTGTACATGACACTTTAGTTTTTTTTTTCACATTCCTGGGACATCTGTAGTTCTGAATTTCTTAGCAAATTGGGATAAGTTGAACAGCTTTGCCTAGTGGGTAGTGTTAAATAGAAACGAAAAATATTGGCAATTCCTGGCTTGTATTGATTTCAGATATTAAAAACTCTGTAGGTCTTTACTTCCTGGATATATTTAACCCCTCAGTCTTTTTGGGTGAATAGTGTACTACTAGTCTTCCAAATTCTGACCTAGTTCCTGAGATAGCTATAGTATTTTTTTCCTTGAAAGTTCTTTTTGAAGAATAATATATAGCTATGCATCTTAAAGTATTTTTCTTACTACAGAATTAAAGTGTATTGTAGAAAATATACATTATCAAAGAGAAGAAACTAAAAATCACTTCTAATTTTACATTTACAGATAAGCACTCTCAGTATTTTGGGTGATTTACTTCTAGTTATTTTCCCCTATGCATGTAAAGAGCTAATGTTATTTCCTTATAGGGGCTTAAGGGGTTAAAAGAAAAAGAGGATTATTTCACTTCTTGCTTACATTTTCAGTTCCCTCAAGGTCCCCTCTTTAACAGACTGTCTCTGGAGTGATTCAGGATGCTGAAGCAGTTGATCACTGAATAAATCTTCCCTGACTCTGAAAATGTTACAGTATTATGCAGCGCACACAGCATGGGTTGCAGCTGAACTGCTCTGTGGCCAGAGATGATCTCTGGGTAAAGAAATTGCCTAGAATTACCCAAGGGAGTTTGCATTTCAGTAGCGAAATAGTGAGTGAACAAATGGAATTGAGTGACTTGCTCAAGAATTTGGCCCTATAAACACTAAGCAAGGGCTGGTGGGGAATAAGATAAATCTCTATGCCTTTTGATTCAAGAAAGAGAAGGACACGGTGTAAGTGTCATTCATTAGAGAGCCCCAGAAATGGGTCATTTTAAATATATCATTGAACTGCTGGCAGGATAGCATGTCCTGGAAGCCCATTTCTCTTGGAGCCATCCTGAACAAGAAAACCATGTAGCATGAGGTAACGTCTGCTTCAAAGAGTTTCAGAGCTTCTGATGTCGGCCTGTCCTCTATATTGATACTTGAATCTGGGAGACCAGGGAATAGTATCTCAAAATAGATTCTCCTAGAGATCTATTTCCCCAGCAGTTGGACGGTGAAAAATCAGGTTTATCTTTGTATTTAAAGGAATATTTTGATGCCATTCTGGCCATCAGAATAATTTTGAAACACATCACTCCAAACTGAGCTATTTGTCTTATTCAATTTTGTCTTTTCAGTGCTGAGGCAAGTGCCTGGCACCTATTAGGTGACCAATAAAAATTTACTGAATGAGGAAATGACTGAAGGTGTATAATTAACAATGACTTGGGACTAGCTACAATGTGTAAAGGACATGGTCATAGCCAGCAAGAAATACGTTTGTGTGCTGTTTCTGTTTCATGTGTCAGCAAAAAGAAACCCTTAAGATTTTTGCACTGTGATGTCATCCACGAGGGATTCAACCTGTCAGCCTCAATTCAGCACTCGTGTTTTCCAGGGATGCAAGTTAGGGGAAGGGTGGCAAAGGTGGCGCATTGAAAAATATTCTCAATAGTTGCCTTTGGATGGAATATTTATTTCTTATACACACACTTAAATTACTATATGCACCATTTTCTTGCTCACTTGTGAAGGCATTTGAACTTGAGATCCTTAGAGTGGTGCAAAACTTCCTCATATATCATATCTACTGAATCTTACTCTTCTTGGGGAGGGGGTGGGAATTTATAATTTCAAAAAGGCCTCCAGATGATATGAATACAGGTGATCTGCAGACAGGCATTTGGGGATCATGGGTATAGAGAAAGGGATAGTGTGATTTTTCCATTTTTCTATAATTTATGTGAACCACTTCGTCTTAATGTCTAGTTACTATGCAGTGCCATAACAACTACCACATGTATGTTGTTAGATGTGTGCCCGATTAACTTTATTACAGGTTATATTTGAATTAGCAGTAACGGTTTCTACCTGAGGTCTCTGTCTTCAGAGATTTTATGAGCAGATTATTAGCAACATTAAAGGGAACACAGTTTAGGGTCAAAATTTTGTATTACAGCTTTTTAAGTTTTTTTTTTCATGTATGTATGAAAAGTCAAGCTGTAAATAGTTTGTCATTATTTAAGTATTTTTTAATCAGATAGAATATTACTGTTACTTCTTATATGATAGTGGGATTTTTATTTGTTTATAACAAATTTTGGAGAAAGTATAATCTAAAAGTTTGCAGAACAAAAAATTTTCTGTTGTGATGACAGTCTCCTCTATCCTAGGTCATTGCTGGTCTAATATCAGGGCATACTCTGCTACTCACTGGCCTGTCTGGTGATGATTTGGCATGGGCAAGAAATACTGAATGAGAATCCATATCAAATTCAAAGATCCATGCCAAGGAAAGAAAGAACATTTTGTTTAGGCCAGACTTTACAAATGAGCAGAAGTGTCCCTCATTCCATCAAAGGCCTTTACCATACCAGGAATTACTGGGCACTTGTTTACCACATACACATTGCCAAATAGGACCCTTTCTGACAATGGTCTTTAAGTCATATTTTAGCAACTTACCACCATCTTGTACTATTTTAGAAAAAATAAAAATAAAAAACACAAGTGAAAAGGATGGATAAAATAAGTAGAATATGAAGCAAATTTTGGGAGAAAGTTCATCATCCTAAAATAGCTATTGAGGGTGACTGATGGGCAAGGAAGACTCTGTCCTGAATGTGTGGGGATAGAATGACCCCTTGGCCTTCACCTTTAGAGCTCACAGTTTGCCAGGCTTCCTTTAGGTCGAGCTATCACCCTGTAATCAGCAGAAAGTTTTCATCCTGAATTAGTCACTCATTGACCCAGCCTCCATTAGGTTTAGTGAAGAGCTGGAGTGCCAACAACAACAAAAAATATGTTCTTTTCTTGCTTCATTGTTTTCCTGAGTGATTCCCCAGGGAGGCAGAGATGTTTGCACAAATCACTGGCTTTGGTGCTCAACCCACCTGACCTCACATTCCAGCCAACACTAACTTTTCATGCAACCCTGGACATGTTGAAGCTATAAAAGTCTTTGTCCCTATAAGTGATAAACAAGGATGCTGATATCAACTTTGTAGTGCTGCTTTGAGGATTAAGGGAGCTTGTGTATGTACAGTGGCCTGTTAACGTGGTCATATATCACTAAGTGGTGGCTGATTTCCTTTGCTAGGGGCTGAGGAGCTGGCTCAAAGTTGTTCTGATGGCAAAGTGGAGGTAACAGGTCCTGGACTTGTGCAGAGGGATCAATGAGGCATTCCAGAGTAGGCAAGCCTCTGCAAATCAGCCCTCTTTCCACCAAGGACATGGAACCTTTTTCTATAACCAGAGACAGTAATTTGGGTCTAGGGACTAAATTTTACCACAAACACACTGCTGAAGTTTACTCTAGTTCTGTACGCCAATTAAAGTGTAATAATACAGGGACATGGTGTAAAAAGATGCAGCTTTCTTGGACATGCACAGGAAGGAGGAGAGCTATGCCTGTCAGAAACTGTCAGGGTTCAAGTTTAGGGGGTAATATTTGGTTCTTTTGATAACCTGTGATTGTTTCCAGCAATGAATTTCAGGAAAAAGCAGATTAGTGAAAGATATTTTACTGCAGTGGGGCTGTCTTTTGAAGGCCTAATTTCTCTTCCCCTCCCTTCCCTTCCCCTCTCTTTTCCTCTCCTTTACACTTTAACTGAACCTAGTTCAGGCATCAGCTTCTCTAAAGAGCATCTTGTGATGCCTCCTATTCATATTCAGTCTTTCTCTTTGCCCTACCAATAATCCGATGTGATTCTTTGCACAAAGTGTTAACTATTTTACACATTTACATCTTGTCTTCTCTAAGAGAGTGAATGCTTCTGGAGGTATGGGGAGAAATTTTTCATTTCTTTCATTATTCTTTCAGCTCCTAATCTGGGGCCATGCACATGCTGGTAAATGTAGCCATAAACACCAACCGAATAAATAGGTGCTTATGTTTCCAAAAGGCCAGTGGGTGCAGCCAATACATTCTTATCATCAGAAATACTTAAAGGAATAGAATTCATGGTGTGGGGGCAGGATGTTTACTTTATTTGATCTCCTGGCCACATTAATTTAATGCGGAATATACAACCTGGTTGAATCTTCACTTGCTGATTAAGGAATCATTACCTGGGATGCTGGGAGCACACCAGACTAGAAGTTATCTCTGGTTTTGCTTGTAAGAAGAGGCACAACTTTTCAGACAATACACTGCATCCCTCTCTGTCCAGGCTTCCTCCTCCATTAAATGCAGGTGCTAGAATAGGTAATCTGTAAGTTTCTGGTGTTGCCTAAGATTTTATTCTTTCTGTGCTTTAAGGTTTCTGTTATTATCATGAATATTCATTATATAGTCCCATAGCTGTCTGTGGAAAGTGTAAAAATTGAATTAGTCATCTTTTTAAAACCTACATTTCCAATAAACAATTTTGTTTTTGTTGTTGCTTATTTTGGATATAATTGCAAAAAATATCTAGTCAATT